GTGTGCATAGAGCAGGTACTTTTATTAGTCTGCTAGGGCTGCCATAATAATATACCACAGACTGGGTGGCTTAAACAACAGAAATTAATTTTCTCACAGTTCTGGAGGCTAGAAGTCCAAGATCAAGGTGCCATCAGGTTTGGTATTTGGTGATGGTTTTCTTCCTGGCTTACAAAGAGCTGCCTTCTTGCTCTCTCCTCATATGGCCTTCCCTCTGTATGTGCATGGAGGGAGAGAGATCGCTGGAATCTCTTCCTTATCTTATAAGGACACCAATCCTATTGGTTAAAGCCCCACCCTTATTATCTCACTTAACCTTTATTACCTCCTTATAGGCCCTGTTTCGAAATACAGTCACACTGGGGATTAGGACTTCAACATACAAATTTTAGGGGGACAGAGTTCAGTCCATAGCAGTGCTTCATAAATATTTGTGGAATATATCAGTTGGTGAATGGCAAAATCTTTATTGATTGATTGAATGAATGAATGACTTAGTCAGTGATTTTTGGTGATCAGTTGGAAGAAGGGGAGAAGAGACTTGAACAGAGCAGGAAGCTCCTCTAAGGCCCTTCAGAGCACCCCTGAATCTAAAAGGATCGTGTAACTTCAAGTGGCAGGTCTCAGCATCTCTCCTGTCTCATTTGCTGGAGGCCAGTTTGTTTGTGTAACGGATTAATGAGGCCACAGGTGTAGGTTTCATCCCATGTGGATCAGTTAACTTCGTTCTGAGAAAGGCTATTCCATAGGCCCAGCCTGCAGGTGTTAGGAGCTAGACATAGACAATTTAGAATAACCCGGATATGAACAAATGCAAGAGGACATAGATGAGTGCATCTGGTATTCCACCACTGAATTGCCACTAACTTTAAACAAACAACAAACAATACACGTATGCCACACTGAGTCAGAACACATATATTTTTCAGTGCAATGGAAGGCCTGACTCTAAAAATTAAAGTGAAAGATTTGGGTTCATTTCAGTCTCATAGCCTTTTAAAGCTAATCTTTAAATTGTGTAGCATATGTTGCTTACAGAAAATTTTAAGAATAAAAAAAAAATAAGAAGAAATGAAATCACCCATAAAATTGCTTGACATTTTAATGGATTTGTTTCCATTTGTTTGCATAGTTGAATTGTATATCTAGAAATTTTCAAAAGATATATATGCATTTCCCCACATTTACACATGTATTTATAAAATAATTTTCAAGGTCTGTGGATGTGTACCCATATGCATTCTGTGGATATCTGATGTAGTTCACTTGATTTTAATCTAGAAAAAGTATCCTTTTGTTACCAGTATGCACACATGCTAGCGGAAAAGACAATTTGCTTTATCTCAGAGTTTGCATACAGTACTGTAAGTTTCATTAACCAATACTGGTGTATTTAAAAGAACACATAATTCAGCGTGCCTGCTATTCTTCAGATGGCAAATCAACTTATTTTTTAATATAAATATTAGATAATTCACATTTGGTTAGTTGAAAAATCAATTTTTCCTCTTCCCTTTTCTTTTCAATCAGTGAGAATTTGGTGATGAAGCTAATAACAAAGTATACCCATAGTCATTCCTGCAAAGGTTCTTTTTACATCATTACTTCCTATAATGCTCTGAATTTTCCCATCAAGGACTTCTTGGGCATGATGTCGGTTAGCTAGATACAGGGCTTTCTCATACTTTGTTACATTCTGTTAGTAATTTCATTCTTCATACCCAGTCCTACCAAATGTGGATTTTCTAAGGAATTGCATTTTCCAGTTATTATTGGCTTCAATTTTATAGTCTCTCTGGAGAAAAATAAATATTGATAGGAAATTCACAGAAAAACAACATTTTCCATGAGAGTGGTATATCTTTTTTTCATTTCACTTGTGCCTTTATGGTACATTTACATGGCCCTGAATTGTGACAAGGTTGATGTCCCCTGGATGGAAATTTAGGGGATAGAAAGTGAGAACATGTTAGGCCAGGGAAGGCATAGGGGAACTAATTTTTATTGAATGCTTACTATGATGCACTGAATACTGGATTAAGAGCTTCATAGATTTTATTATATTTAATCCTAATCATATGAGGCAGGAATTATATTTTTAAAATAAGACAACTGAGAGTAGGGGCAAGGGATGGAAATATTACTTATTGAGTACAAACAACATGCTAGGTTCTGTGCTATGTACAGCATGTAGATTATTTCATTTGATCTTCACGATACTACCTTATGAGGTAGCGATTCTTAGAACATTAACAAATAGCAGAATGGGGTTCTAATGCAGGTTTTTATGCCTCCCAAACCTATGTCTCTTTTCAGTTTCCTATGCAGTGGGCCAGATGTGCCACACTGATACAGATTGTAAGATTTTTAGAAAGGAAGAGCTAGATGTATTTTTTAAAGCAACTAAAACTTAAACACCTTTGAGGATAAAAACACTTTTGAGCAGTTAAGAAAACACAATATAAATTCACGCTGTTTACACATATCTTTTCTTAATGAATTTTTACCCGACCCTCAATCCCTTTAAAACCTACATTGGGCTTTTGAGAAATGCTTTCTGTTTTCTTTACCCTCACATAGATTTTGAAACCTCCAGCAGCTTCTCAGTTACTCTTGTTCACTTCTTATTACAAAATGCTTTCTTCCTTCCTTGCGAATGGGACTCAGTCTTACATGTTAAATCCCTGTGTGTGGGCACCCTTGTCAGCAGACTTCACACTGTCCTAGACTCTCCTCTCGATGAGATTCGTGGAATTTCTCTACCTTTTATTATATTTTTTATTGAGGTATAATTGTCAAATGACATATATTTAAATTGTACAACATGATGATTTGATATACATGTGAAATGATTACCACAATCAAGTTAGTTAACACATTTATCACCTCACATAGTTACCTTTTCTTTTGTTTGTTTGGTAAGAACACTTAAGATCTACTCTCTTAGCAAATGTCAAGTTTACAATACAGTGTTATTAACTGTAGTCACCATGCTGTACATTAGATCCTCAGAACTTATTCATCTTATAACTAAAAGTTTGTGCCCTTTGACCAACATCTTCCCACTTCCCCCACCCCCCCAGCCCCTGGCAAACATCATTCTACTCTTTGTTTCTATGAATTCAACTTTTTTTTAGATTCCACGTATAAATGATACCATATAGCATTTGTCTTTCTCTGTCTGGCTTATTTCACTTAGCATAGTACCCTCCAGGTTCATCCACGTTGTGATAAATGGCAGGATTTCTTTCTTTTTAAAGGCTGAATAATATTCCATTGTGTGTGTGTGTGTTGTGTGTGTGTGTGTATATATATACACACACACATATATCTCACAGTTTCTTTATCCATTCATCCATCAATGGACACTTAAGTTGTTTCCATATCTTGGCTATTGTGAATAATGCTGCAATGAACATGGGAATGAAGATATCTCTTTGAGATACTGATTTTGCTTCCTTTGGATGTATTCCCAGAAGTGGGATTGCTGGATCATATGGTAGTTCGAATTTTAATTTTTTGAGGAACCTCCATATTATTTTCCATAGTGGCTGCACCAGTTTACATTCCCACCAACAGTGCACAAGAGTTCTCTTTTTTTCTACATCTTGCCAACATTTGTTATCTCTTAGGAACTTCTCTGTCTTCAAAGAATTTTACAACCAAAAGGTTTCTCAATGAACCTTTTTCTTCAGGTTGGCATTGCACACCACTAGCTCCAACTTTGTAAGTAAAACAAAGCTCCTCAAAGTTACACAACAAGCTTGTTGATAGAAATTCAACAGGCTACAATATGTTTTATTCCGCTGATAATTCTATGTTATTTAAGCTTAGAAGAGAAAATAAGTTTTTGGATTTCCTTTGTGCAGCTTTTAATCTAGAGGTAATAAGTACTTTGCCTAAGAAAATAACTCTCCCATCCACTAAGTGAACAGACATCTGGAATTTCTGTAGCAAACGGTAAAGAATTTCTTTCTGTATGAAAAGATAAGGCTGAAAATGCAAAGACTCTGGAGAGAAGTAACATTTATTAAATTATATTCATGCTATCCCGCAAATTATTGATATGATAGTCTCTCCCAAAAAGAGATTGAGATATTGAAGAGTAGGAGAGAGCAGGCGAGATCCCATTGTTTAAAGGGGGCAAGTGAGAGGTGGGAGCCAGTGCCTGCTCAGTAGGTAGCACTCAGAGACTTTGATTCCTCATGTTTTAAGTCTGGTCCTTCAGAAAATGTTTACTATGGGAGTCACATTTTACGATGAGCCTAAGTTCTAAAGTCAGTGTGAAAATGGTGTGCAGTAAAAATCACTCTTGAAAATCCCTTAAATCTCCCATAAAGTGCAGTTCTCTTCTGTTTCTCAAGAAGTCCAGCATCACCAGTTCTTTCTCAAGCTTTAACAGTTACAGAGATTGCTACGTTTTCATTTGAGTCCTGTGGTTGTTTGTTTGCCTTTGGAGGCTGTGTGCATGAAAAATGCATACCCGGAAGTATATTCAATGCAGCCAGATGCTCCCAACTGCAAAAAACACAGGGGAACTAAGCCTAATTGGGAAAACAACAGATTCCCTTTCCCATCTCATGTTCACACTGGGACATATATATGCCCAGGAATGGAATGTTGGGGGCAGTTTTACACACTATTTAAATTGTTCCCTCTCTCATTTACTTAATTCTCTTTCTTTTTGGCTGAGTGAGTATAGTTGAATTTGTCTAACTATAGTTAAAGTCATATTGCAACTCCTCTACTTAATCGACCAAATGCAGTGTTCTTGGGCAATGTCTTAATCTCCTTCTACCATTGGAGAGGAACTGGGTGAGGAGATGGCAGAAAACCATGGTGAACAGTAGGGTATAGTGGATTCTTTGGTTCAAGATTAGGAAAATGAGAGCAAATCACCAATTTGGGAGCTTTTACCAAGTGACATGTCAATGAAGTAGTTTCCATTTTGATGATCGATGCCTCTCTCTCTCTCTCTCCCTCTCTCTCTCTCTCAATAGGCTGGTCCATTCAGGTCCAGGGAAAGGATCGCCCCAGGCTGGTATGGATCTGTCCTTTGCAACGCGAACTGGTACCAGGCAGGGGATTGAAACACACCTCTTCAGGGCCGAGATCAGCAGGGACCTCTCCCATTGGACAAGGAACATAGTACAGGGTTGCCATAACTCAGCTGAACTCATTACTGAAGTCACCACAGGTGAGCACTGTTGGCTACGGGCTACCGATGTCACACTCCTAGGAATGTACCCTCTACTCCACCCTGGCCTCAAAGTAGTTTCCGTTACTGTCCTTTGGGGGTACTTAAAATTCCAGGGGTAAATTTAAATTCTTCTAAATCAGTGCACTGTATGCCCTACTAAAATGGAAACTAAGGTTTTGATTGTGAAAAGCCTCATCCCATCTTCATTCAAGAAAAGTTGGTAATTTGGATAGTCAGATGTCATTTTCCTACCTAAAACCGCTGGGTGGCTTCCTGGAGGAACGAACTTTGAGGTACAGACTAGTAAAGTTCTTGTTATAAAGAAATGAATTTATCACCGAATGGAATCATTGGAAATGTATTAGGTAGCTCACAGAATTGATCAGAAAACTGGAGAACCAGGGCTGGGAAAAAGAGCATGAACCAAAGGCATCTAGGCGAGTGTCAGCAAAGCAAAGGGAAAAGCCCTGGGAAGAGTCCCCAGGGACCCCTTCCCCTGGTGTGAATGGAGAGGCAGAGGCAGGATGGAAGGCGTGTGCAGTGAGTGCGATCCACATTCATGTAGAGCTCTGAGAAAGGAGTAGTTAGTGGTAGAAAAGGGATATGTGTGTAGAAGGAAGAACTCTTCTCTACTACACTACTTACTGAGTACTTGCTAGATGCCAGGCATTTTTATATAATGTCTCTTAGTGTTTTTCATACTGTGAGAAACAACTCTTTTTGGGTCCAAAAATAAATTAATTGAGGCAAGACCAACATTTTAAAAATGAAATTAATTAGAATAGAAATATCAGTGTAAATATTGTTTTGTTTTGTAAAACTTTTGATTCAGGGGTGTGTGTGTGTGTGTGTGTGTGTCCTGGGTCACTACATTGCCTCATCTCATCTAATCCTCATGATTCCCTTTTCAACCTGATTTTACAAGTCAGGAAGAAAATTTTTTTTTTTTTTTTATGACGAGGACTAGCCCTGAGCAAACATCCGATGCCAATCCTCCCCTTTTTCCTTGAGGAAGAGTGGCCCTGAGCTAACATCCGTGCCCATCTTCCTCTACTTTATATGGGACGCCGCCACAGCATGGCTTACCAAGCGCTGCTTCGGTGCGCGCCCGGGATCCGAACTTGCGAACCCCGGGCCACCGCAGCAGAACGCGCGCACTTAACCACTTACACCACCAGGCTGGCCCCAGCAAGAAAATTCTTAAGAAAGGTTAAGTAACCTGCCCAAGATCACACAACAAATAAAGGACAGAACTGACTCCACCTCTTGGCCATATCCCTCTAAAGTCCATTCTTTATTCACTGTAATGTCTACAGAGACATGGAACTTCTTACTGTTATACTAGTGGTCAAAACACAATTCTGTCTAGGCTGCTGTGATAAATAATTTTCATGCCGCTCTCCAAATCATACATATAGACAGAGGATAGACAGATGATAGATATAAATACATACATATATAAATATATACATATAGATAATTTAATTTTTTTAACTGGGCAACGGCAAAATAGGAGACTGGAAAAGTAATATGAATCTGAGGTACATTAATTAACAAAATATGTGCTGTAAAATCTACATTTGCTAAGGTGGATTCCAGTGGTTTTCATCAGCCAGCACAATATACAGTTAATGGTGTCTATAATGCTATTTTTTTTTAATTTTAACCTGAAAAGCCTCAGATTGCTGACCCCACATCCAGAGACTCTGTTTAGCAGTTCTGGGATGGGGCCTGAGATTTGCACCTAATAAGATACCAGGTGTTGCTGATGCTGCTGGTCCATGGACCACTCTCCAAGCAGTACTGCACTAGGGTGCAACTTCCTCAGGCACCCAGCAGTATAAGGGACACACATCTATGTGTAGCGAGGTTTCTCCACATTTCCTCTACTTGTGCAAATATGAAAAACCAGATGTTTTGCAGAACTTCTGCTCCAAGATAATCAATGTCTTTTTAAAATTACCCTGAAAATGAGGCTGGCCGGGTGGCGTAGTGGTTAAGTTCACACACTCTGCTTTGGCAGCGCAGGGTTTGCGGGTTCGGATCCTGGGAGCAGATCTATGCACCGCTCGTCAAGCCATGCTGTGGTGGCAAGTCATATATAAAAAGCAGAGGAGGATGGGCTTGGATGTTAGCTCAGGGACAGTCTTCCTCAAGCAAAAAGAGGAAGATTGGCAACAGATGTTAGTGCAGGGCCAATCTTCCGCACCCCCAAAAAAGAAAAATTATCCTGAAATTAATTAGTGCCCCCAAATATTTTCCATCATTGTTGGAAACCTTTTTGGAGTGTCATTGAAACTTTTATTTTTGGTCTATTGTGTATGGCAAGATAAAGTGGAGTTTTGAGCCTTAGAGTTGGAAAAGGCCCCAGTCACCTGAAAACTAAATTTAATGTAGTTATATGTGTAATATCAGAGAACGTCAGACTCCTTGCAACAAATGCAGGCATGTTCTAGGAAAGAATGAAGATGGCCAAAGGGATTTGGTTTAGTTTACATTCCACAAATTTTGTAAACTCCTTCTCTCTCAATAAACTGAACTCTACTTCGACAGGAAAACAATGAGGCTGTTGATAGACCAGCCAAAGGAAAATAACAGGGAATTGTGTGAACTGAGCTAACTGGGTGGTGGGAGAGAAGAAATTATGGAAATGACCAAAGGTGCAACCCAGTTTCAAATTGAAAGATACTTCCAGAGAGTTGGGGAAAGAGGCTTATGTTTTAATCAGAGCTTCAATTAACTTGATAATGTGTTCAACTTATCCTGTGTAGATTGAGAACATCTTCAGATAACCAATTCCATTATATTAAAGGCCACAAATACCATTTGAGGTCAACTAGAATTAAAAGTAATCACAATCAGTTAATTCACAATATCTGATGGCCTAGCTTTAAAGTTCAAACATACAGGAGGGAAAAAAAAAATATGTTTAGAGCCTATTCGCCCATATATTCTGCAGGTAGTAGAAGTGAAGGTGTCAAAACCGAGGATTTAAGATGGGAAGCCATAACTAAGTCTATGCCACTGTCCGTGATCATCCTTGCACTGGAGGGGCAGAAGAAGTCTAGGGTACTTCTGAGAGGATAACTTAAGATTTACCCAGGGGCTTTGCCCAGAAAGACTCATAGAAGGAGTATATGTTTTAACCAGAGCTTCAATTAAAAGCCACCTCATTCTGTGAGCAGATAGAGACCCCTGTTTATTCCCCCAAACTCTGAAGGCCTCCCCCATCCCACTGTTACTACTCTGAGAGACTCTTTGCCCAAGTCCCTCCACACATCCCTCCATATCCTTAGTACCAGAGCGTGAGAAAGATACATGGCACATGGTAGAAAGAACTTCAATTTTGAAATCTATACCACCTGGGTTGTGACATATTCACCTCTCTGAGCTTTGCTTTTGTCACTTATAACATTAAGCTAAGGTCCTGCGTCAGAAGTTTGTGGTAAGGTGAAATTAAGTTTGGTTTATAAAGCTGAGCTGAGCTAATGATGGTACAGAGTAATCAATAACGCCCTTCCTCTTATTCCTCCCAAACCCCATTCCCAGCAAAGAAAATGTCCTGGTTTCCCTAAAGAGCTTTCAGATGCATATGAAGGCCTGAGGCAATTTACATGCCAGAGTCTGTTAAATGTGGTTTTTTGTGAGGCAAAAAATCCAATCTGATACTTAATAACTTTTTTGGAATTCTTTGTTTAACGGTTTTAAACATTCACAAGTCTTCCTGAATGGGAACTGGGATTTGGTGTCAGTCCCCCGTTCAGCTCATAAGCTTAAAGCTCTGGTCTCTTTTCCTAAATGTAATGAGGACCACAGATAAAAAGCTGATCAAGAGGTTTTCGTTTTGTACCTTTGGATCAGAGGGCACCATGTGGACCTGAGGGTTCCCACATGCCACGCTGGGCAGAGGGAGGAAGCATGGAAGGTGCCACATCTGACATCTCTCTGACATAGTAGCCTTTCCAGGACCTAAGATCATCAGATCATCAGAGAAATTAAAAAAGCACCCCTTTCTATTTATAAATTGAGCTTTGTTTGACTTTTTTAAAATTAAAGATTAGATCATTTTTGAACTACTCATTCCTGACTTTTTAGGTGTATTACATTTGTTAACTTTGGTAATGTAATGGGGGAAATGCTTGCTTCTTTCACCAGGTAGTAGACGTGGCATTGATTGTGTGTGTGTGTGTGTGTGTGTGTGTGTGTGTGTGTGTGTGTGTGTGATGATTCAGAGGTAGCTTACTCTAAATCAAATGTCAGGTTTTTTCAGGCTTAAGGCAAGGCCATTGGAAAGCAAGTACAGCTATCTACGTAATGTGTTGTCAGGTGGTCAGATAACGGTTAGAGCCCAGATAAAATTCAATAAATCCCAGCAAAATGAATTTCTTTTGGTTTATTTCCCTTAGTTTCATGGGGCACGTTAAATTACAATATCAAAATCAATGGAGAATATTTTCATGAACAATTACTAATTTTTAACTTAGTAATTTGTGGCTGGCTCCTGGGACTAAGTAGACTGGAAAGTTAAGTGCCTGAGAAAATGGGTTGACTTCCGTTGTTCATACCGTCTATCTGTCTGTCTCTCTCTTTCAGCTTGCACCTACAAAAACCAGGAGTGCCGTTTGACCATACATTATGAGAATGGATTTTCTATTACCACTGAACCACAGGAGGGTGCCTTTCCCAAGACAATCATACAGTCTCCTTATGAAAAGCTGAAAATGTCTTCAGATGATGGAATCAGGATGCTGTATTTAGATTTTGGAGGCAAAGATGGAGAGCTTGTAAGTGCAGTTTTCTTTAGATAGTGTAATTTCGTATATTACATTATGCAACACACCTATAATGGCTCACAAACATAATGCTGCCATATGTATATTTAGCATTTGACTATTAAAGTATTTGCAAGTTCATGTCTTGATTCTTGAAAAACAGTGATTAGGGGCCGGCCCTGTGGCTTGGTGGTTAAGTGCGCGCGCTGCAATGCTGGCGGCCCGGGTTCGGATCCCGGGTGCGCATCGAGGCACCACTTCTCCGTTCATCCTGAGGCCGAGTCCCACATACAGCAACTAGAAGGATGTGCAGCTACGACACACAACTATCCACTGGGGCTTTGGGGGGAAAAAATAAAATAAATAAAATCTTTAGAAAAACAGTGATTAGATCCAATTTTTTCACAGTTCTTTACTTTGGTCTCGTTTTCTACTGGAATACTACATAAATACTTGAATCAAAGGAAATAATTCTTTACAAGCCAGCATTAAATTCTTCTCAAATAGAGTCCCACTAGCTTCAAAATGTACCATTCTTTTTTTTTTTTTTTTTTTTCCCTGAGGAAGATTCACCCTGAGCTAACATCTGTGCCAATCTTCCTCCATTTTGTATGTGGGTCGCTACCAAAGCCTGGCTGTGGAGTGGTGTAGGTCCGTACCTGGAAGACGAACCCACGAGCCTGGGCCACCAACTTTAGCCACTACGCCACGGGGCTGGCCCCCCATTCATTTTTTAATAGTATCAAGCATCTGATCCAACCTCAGTATTGTGCTAGGTGTCAGGGATGCAGGGATGAAAAATACTCTGTCCAGGTGTTCTGGGAGGTCTCAGGAGCAGAGGTCATAGAAAGCAGAGAGAGGGGAGGGGCTGGACGAGGGCAGAGTAGAAAGGATAGCAGGGGAAACAAACTGGTCAGCTCTACCCGAGTAGAGAGAGGGCCAGAGAAGGGCCCAGCAATTTTAGGCTAATGTCAAATAATATCCAACAAAATTAGCAAATGTGTCAGTTAAGGTAACATTTATATGTCTCCTGTCAATGCAAATAGCCCATGTGTTTAAGTTCATGATTTCCTGGGACCCTTAACTGCCTACCACAATAAAAAGTGCATTACTTCAGTTCCACAGAAGGGTGAGAATTGCATGTTCTGCTTTCTAACAAGTTTAGTTCGAGGCATTTCTCAGGAGGACATAGCATCTCATTTAAGCTGTCAAATGTAGAACTTTAAGAGGACCTTGATTTTGTAATAACTTAGGTCTTCCCTAGTCACCAGATTAATCAACAAATATTTATTGACTTCCACTTGATAACAGGGGTGGGGAATATGTAAAATGCAGAGATAAATCTCAGTTTTAAAAATCCAGTAATTTCAACTCAGCTACTAGCCTTCCAAAATCCCCCCCGTCTCTCCACAGTTATTTCAGTCATTTCTCCTGTGGGATTTTATCAATAATTCTCTGAAAACCATTCAGGTTACATAGTAGGGGTTGACTGAAGGAAAGGGCCACACTTAAAAGAGTGTAGGGGCCCTTGATCTCAAAGTTTCAGCACCACTGTTCTGGATCATGCGGGACTACTGGGCCCAATACGGGACCAGATTTCTTACTATGGTGCCACAGGAAGACGTCGATGCCCTGTGGCTGACAGTCGATCTCAACTCACTTTCTAAGAACAATTTCCAGGCAGTGATTTTTCTAACCTTTAAAACGGATCTGCAGAATTTTATAGGATTTTGTTGTTGTTTATTTGCATGTTTCAATCCGCAAATCCAAGTTCAGCCTGAAGCCCGGTTTGGGAATAAATAAGTGATTTGAAAGTCCATTTTCCTGAGAATACTTGTAGTTCAGTTGCTGCTCTCTCAATCACCCAACTGTGTACTTTTTCCTGAAGGTGACTATGCCCTGGCAAAGTAGGAAAGAACAAGGAGCAGTATCCTGTTTTATCCTTGACTTGAAAATTTAAGGCTCTTTTTACCCATAAGGAAAATCACTTACATTTAAATTTCAGCCTTTCTGCCTGTACTTACAACCCGACTTGGAAGATTCAGGAAGGACTGACTTTTTGCTGACAGTACATTAGGCTGATAAGCTCAAGTTCAGATCCAGCTCCCCAGGGTCTAGTAAAGCAACCCCAGGAGGCAAGCACCAGGCCTTTCCGGTGTGGGGGAAGGGAGCAGAGAGGAGGTGTGGCAAATGGACTAAATTGACCGTCAAGAGACCCATGTTCTCTTTCTGTCTTTTAACTAATTCACCAATTGTCTTGGGCACGTCCTTTTCTTTCTTTGGATCTGAGTCTTCCCATCCATAAAATACAGGGACTGAAGTAGGTAATCATTCAGTTTACTTCCAAAAGTTGCATTCTATGTTAGTGAAGCAGAACGTTGTGGTTAAGCCACAACTCCGGCATCAGACCTGTGTTTGAGTTCACTCTTTCTCTTTACCATAAGATCTATGATCTCAGGAAGTTTTATAACTTCTCCAAATCTTAGTTTCCCGTATAAAACATAGACATAAGAACAACAGCTACCTTGTAGGGATGTTGTGAGAATTAAATAAGATAGTGTATAGAATATATTTAGCACAGGGCCTGGTTCATGGTATGTAAAATCTTAACTTCGCTAGATGTTATTATACGTTCAGGTTGTTATTCCTCAACAGTGTCATCATCAGAGCAGAATTGGGGACAGCAGAAGAGAATTGAGAACAACTCCCCCAGTTCTCCTGAATTAGGTTGGGGGATAAAAATGGAAGCTGACTCTTATGCTCTGACCATGAGTCGGCTCTATAGGACCACACTGAGAAGGCTAAGACTTTAGAAGGGGCCTTGACACGCGTGATATATGTGCCCACAACCATCCAGGGTGTAGGACACTGATGATGCAGCTGCTTAGCAGCATGGGTTCTGTGTTTTAGAAATTATACGGAATTTTCACATACAGTGTCTCATTTAATACTCTAATTACCCCGTGAGTTAGGTAGGACTGAGAAAAATTTTAAGTGACTTGTCCAAGATTACACATCTAAAAAGCGTTAGAACCAGGACTCAAACCTAGTCATCAGATGTGAAATTCAGTACTGCTTCATGCTGTCCCTAATCCAACAGAGATACTATCACTATTGTGATACCAAAAATAAATGGTTTAGACAGTCAAGAAAGGCAACTTCAATATTTATGCTATTGGTATATATAAATTTCACAGAACCTATTTCAGAAAAGAAATATATGAGATGTAAGGAGTAAGTTCAGAGTTATTTTATCCCTTGGTAGTGGGGCGGGGACTTAAAAACATAATTGCTCCCGTTAACACTTAAAAGCACAGATCCGTTTGATGTGTAAATCGTTATTGGGTATCAAGCATTAATTTAAAATCTCTCATGCTCTCTTCTTTTTCAATTTCAGCAACTGGACCTTCATTCCTGCCCCAAGCCGATTGTTTTCATCATTCATTCCTTCCTGTCAGCTAAGATTACAAGACTGGGCTTGGTCGCCTGAACAGAGGGGCGACTTGCCTTTGAGAAAAGGAGGGCTGCGGTGCCGCCAGAAAGTAACATCAGACACCATTTGCAGTGAGCAATGCACCAGCCGTAGCATGCCACAGTCAGCTTTAGATCCCAAGAGTCCTGTGTAACTGTCCCAGACTGCTCTGTCAATTTCATCAACTACAACGGGGTACCCTGAGAAAACACCGCAAGGAATATCAGAATAAAACTGTCTTTTTAGAACAGTAAAAGGGAAAAGAGGTGAGGGAGATTGGAAATACACAGCATAGCTTTTAAATAATGACAATCAAGGACATGAAATTAGAACAGCATGTGCAGATCTTAATCACACCAGTTTCTAGGCAACTGGTTCACCCAGGTAAGCAAGGGTTGAAGACATGAGAAATGGACATGTTCCCCTCTTTCCCCCCCAATGACAATGATCCCTTGGTTTATTGTGACTTATTTCCTACTTCTAATTGCGTTGAGTTTAGCTGGTAAGGAAAGAAAAGCACTTCAAATGGAAACCCACCTTTTATTTAAGTATGAAGCAGCTGTTACTTTTTCTTAATGAATTATCTTTCAGTGATGTAGGATGATTATTCTGAAGTGTTCTCATTAGCATATGCTGAGCGGGAATTAAATAAAGCATCAGATACTGATCTGAGCTGCAAGCTGGTGGAATCCGAGCCAAAGTAGACCGCTTAAATTTCAAAGCTTTGCTGAAGAGTGGTGTGCGTGGAAGATGATTAATTCTGGGACTGCACTCACACCAAAGTCTGCTGTCTTAGAGCCAAGACGGATAGCTTTATTTATAGAAACCAAATTATGGATATTTTTTTAAAAGATCGTCATTTGCTATATATATATATATATATATATGACAACTCACATGGGGTTAACCAATCATCCCCATTTCGTGCTTTGCAGTGGAAGTACTGAGCAATTTATTGACCCTTGTTTCTGCCTGTGCTTGTGTGCATGCATTTTGGAATTGGTAATAGAGCGGCCTCATATAATTCGGGCTGCTGCTGGGTTTTACAGATACACCCAGCGTTACAATCAGATCTCTTGATAGCATCCAGCTCTTTTGGAATTCCAGGGAAATAATATAGTGACCTGATATTTTTCTACAAGAATATTTTCAGACACCATATAGCATATTACTGATTTAATACTTTTGCTTTGTCTTTCAAAACAAATGCACTAAAAATCCATCTATTATTTTATTTTGGAATCACTTTCTTCAAATCTTGAAAATTAGTTCTAGAATTTCTGTAAGCATTTGTAACCTTTCTTTCCCCTGTAGTTTACATAGACAAATGTTCCAGGTTAGATTTGTGTGTTTTTTCAGAATCATATTTTAGCAAATACCTATGCAAAGAGCTTTAACAAGTGAAACTGTTTTAAAGGAATGTGATTTTGTTCACTGAGACATATGTGTTTATTGAGTGGCAAAGTTTTATTTTAGATCAGCGTTTCTCCAAAGTATGTATCATGTAACATTAGTTCCAAGGGTCACTGACTGAGAGGTGTTTTGTAGTGGGTGAAATAAGAGGTTTGGTTGTCAAAAATGTTTGTTAAACACTGAGTTAAGAAATGTTCAACAGATTTCATAATCGCAGGCCTCCTCGCTTTAATGCACATTGTGATTCTTCATGGCGGGATCCCGTATGCCATTCCTCGCACTTACCTACAGAACTCCTATCTAACGGAGCATCTTGTGAAGCTAGTGTTTAAAAACAAAACACAACATGTTGGAAAACGCAGCTTTAGGACATTAATTTTTTTTTTTGGTTTCCTATTTTAAAATGCTGAAGAGTGAAGTCCCAGCCTGAATATTGTGGGAAAGCTTTGATGCATTTGTAAATTATACTGCACTCTTTCATCATATATTTTCGGAATCACTGGAATGTTCTTATACAAGAGAATTACACTTGTGTATTGTAAATAACATATTAAAATACATATATTAATGCCAATAGTTTAATTCAACAATATGTAATCTAAGGTGCTCCGTACTACATGAAGTATGAGTTAATTACTCATTTATAATTAAGTTGCAAAGATCATATTATATATTTATAGACAAATTAAAATGATCATAATTACAAATATTATTTCTTCATCACTTAAGTTTTGGACTGATTAATATCTGGGTGGGGAGTCAACAGAAACTACATTCTCTGCATTTATAAAATTTTAATTTAAATATTTATATTTTAGAAAAAATATATTTGAATAAAATTAATGCATTTTTCCGAATTAAAAGGTGTTCTTAGCAAGAAATAGAAAATTTTACTAAGAGAATTGTGTATATGAATCATTTTTTTTTCTCCAAGTTAAAGTGTATCATATCAGAGTGGCTACGATGAATCAATTTCAAATACTCATTTTTTCTCATTCTGAATTCAAGAAGTTACAATGACTTTACACTGTAGATTTTAATTTCGTCTTGATGTGTATTATGAATGTTGTGAGTGACACAAACTCATACATCTGGATCATGCCTGGATACAGCCGATGAATCAACTGAGTCATTTTGGGGAATTTGGTTTTGTATAATTCACTCTGTGTTCATTTCTTATTTGAATCGATGAATTATTAAATTCACAATGTTTGTCCCTTTAGGGGCAAACCAATACAAATGAATGATGTTTTAATCTATACTTAGTGGGAAACTGTCCATTTATTAGTAGATGTGGTTAGGCCAACCCTTTGGTGTGCTGACCCCTGTTTAAACCATCCCATAGGGATTTAAAGAAGACCAATAGGAATATAGACCAATTTTTTTTTCTGACTTGAACTATGTAGGAGAAACAAAACCATAAACCTATTAAAAAATACCCAGGCAGAGGCATTTAATTAATTCTATCAATTGATGGAATTAAAATGCTGAAAAATGCATGCTCCATTGCGGAAAAGCTTGTTGACCCTGCTTGGTTGAGGTCAGAAGGATTGGTCTTAATGTTCAGAAGGATTCTTCTAAAATTAATGAGCAGGGCCTTTCCTGCTCCTGTTTTACAAATATTAGATAGTCTATCTTAAGGGGACTGGAGTGAGCTGGGGTGAGAGTAATTTTTGAATGTACCCTGAGTTAAAAAAAAATGTGCCTATGTTTATAGCGCCATGGATATCATGTAAAATTTCTATATGAATTAAATAAATATTCACCTCTACCTATGGTGGGCTGGCTGGTGGTTTCATGATAGCCATGGAGGGCTATGGGAGTGTGAAGACACATCTTGCTGTTCTCTTCCTCCAAGCTTGGCCTTGGAAGGTGCCAATGGGTAAAGGGGATGCCACTAGCAATTTTTTTTGCATGTTTTTTTGTGTACAGTTTCAGGATGGGTCTTCACCTGGGGCCTAGGGATCTCATTTTTAACTAAGTTTTCATGGGATTCGACTTGTACACCAAGCTTCAAATACTTGAATTCTCTGTAGTACTAGAACTTGGTTTGTGTTTAAATTGCTTGTAATAAATGTTAACAGGCTGGGTTGAAAAATCTTTTTACTATTTTAAAATTTCGTAGTGTTGAGATTACATTCAGAACTGTAGATTCACAGTTTTGAAGAGACTTTGGAGGTCATCAAGCACATTACTGCCCAAAGTTTATTTATAATTTTAGTAATACTACCTTAGTATCTTAGGGTATATGATTTGCTAGTAATATGCAACATAGTATATACATATAAAAATGGATATACACCAACTACAACTTTTTTAAGTTTGTACCACCTAAAGTCATCCCACATACACTCTGGTCCGGGTACTATATGGGAAATGTTGACCTCGTATAATATTCTACTAAACTCTGGAATCTCTTCCTGAACATCCCTTGGAGTTGTTCATTCCACCTGAAATTGAAAATCTCCAGCTATGGGGAGGGAGCTCCTTATCTCCTGAGGCAGGCCATTCCATTGCTGGATGGCTAGAGTTGTTGGAAAGTTCTTACATCCTTAGGGCCAAAATTTATGTCTGCCTAACGACCACCCTGTTCTGCCCAAGAAAACACTGAAAGTCCAATATCTTTTCCACATGAATGTCCTATATAAAAAGACAAATCAAGGCTGGGGACAGCTAGGTCACATAAAATGATCTGAAGATGGCTTTAAATAGGAGATTTAAAATTCCTCATTTTCATCTTTAAATTGGCCAAGATTAAAACTTTCCATAATACCTAGTAGTGGGAAGTGATGGGAAAACGGACATTTATACACCCATTAGCAGGTATATATTTGGGAATAATTTGGAGGGCAATTTGGCAATATCTATAAAAATTTAAAAATACATGTACTTTTTGACTTGGGGAATTTATCCTAGAGATATAACTGCGCAAGTGCACAAAGACTGGTGTACTGCAATCTTTGCAGTACTGCTTGTAACAAGAAGCTGAAAAGGTCAATGTGACCATCAATAGCTAAATAAATCCTGGCACACTGAGGCATTAGAACATTCTGCAATTGTTACAAAGAATGGCCCATCTATAACTGCTAATACAGACAAAATTTCTAAATGCAAGTTCTGCAAGATGCAGATATAGATATTGATATACATTCCATTTGTTTTTTAAAGAGGGTTCTCAAGAAGAGCGGCACTGGCAGGGCATTTTGGCGATCTGTGCTAGTGTTGCTTGGTTGTCACAATGGTGGGGGGAGGGGCGCTATCGGTATTTACTGAACAGGAGCCAGAGTTGGTAAACTTCCTGCAATGTGATGACAGTCCCCACATCCAATGGAACCATTGCCCACACAATTTTTACGTTCTCTGAGTTATTCGTGTAGGTGAAAAACATGATTATGTTATCTTCAGCCTAGAACCTGGCTATATGTTACACATGAAAATATTTTTTGACTGATTCACTGTATTCTGAATTTTCTAGGTATGTCACTACCTGTATATGGAAGACAGATTGTGTTTTTGTTTTGCTCAGGGCATTTTATTTTATAAAAATAAGTCACTGGTAGCAATTGTGTGCATGGTACTTGAGTCACCAACACAAAACACCTGACTACTTTTATATGTGCCGCATTCATGCTGAGTCTAGGCAAAAGTCAAATATTCGACTATTTCTTTTGTCTTTTAGGGTAGTCGTACCCCAGCATCTCCATGTTGAAATGCATAGTATTATGATTATTTTTTTTATTTTTTTTGTGAGGAAGATTAGCCCTGAGCTAACATCTGTTGCCAATCCTCCTCTTTTTTGCTGAGGAAGACTGGCCCTGGGCTAATAACCATGCCCATCTTCCTCAACTTTATATGTGGGACGCCTGCCACAGCGTGACCTGATAAGTGGTGCATAGGTCCGCACCCAGGATCCAAACCCTGGAACCCCGGGCCGCTGAAGCTGAGCGCATGAACTTAACCACTAATGCCACCAGGCCGGCCCCTGAAATGCGTACTATTTTATTATCATTACTTCTCTATCTTACAGTTAGCGGATAACAATTTTAAAAACATCCTGAGGGCATGTAGGTTATATTCATGTGCTGGGCTCATCCTGTGTATCTCCCCAGATCCCCTCAATGCCATCGTCTGCTCTCCTAGACTCTGAGCTGCTTACTCAACCTTAGGCAACATCACAGCCGGCTCTGCTTGACCTGTTTCTGCCACTTAGAGCCAACTAATCGCTTGCCTGGTAATGCTGCTTCCCCTACCTTCCCCCTTGGCTGCTGCCAGGCAGGCTAAGGAGACGCATACCTGAATTTTTGGTTCTGTCATCAGTTTCAGACTTGGATGAAAAGCCACATTGTAGGGCATCAGAACTGGTATCCTGAGCAGCTGCTAAAGGTAATAAGCCGAGTAACCCAGAACTGTAGGGGCTTTAAATCCTTGTGGGGCCAAACAGGAGACAATAATAGGAAGGAGTCAAGGAGATAAGTAATCCTCCGCTTCCTCCTTCCTGAGTACTTCTCTGAGACATGGTTTCTTCATACACCATATATCCTCAGAGACATCCCACGTGGCTGAGAAGGGACCTGCTGGGAGCCTGGCTGTGTCTCTGGCCTCAGGAAGCAGTGGCCAGTGCAGTCCAGTCACCTTGTCTTGCTTTCCTGCCTTCCCTGACTTTGTTCCCTTTTTTCCTCACTCTCGGTGCCCTGGAATTGGATCTCCCAAACAAAGCATCAGCATCTAATCCTTGCCTCAAGTTTCATTTTCTAGGGAACTTGGCCTGAGAGCATTATGTATTAATTTCACCTCATGACAGCAAAGGAGACCCATTAAAAATTCTTCTTATAAAAAGAGTGTCGGGTCTGCTCAGTTGAGAAGCAGTGGGCACGTGTAATATGCTTGTACATATATACAGATGTCTGGAAGGATACATTAAAAAAAGAAAAAGGCCTCTGACTCTCAGTTACTACTAGGAAATGGGACCAGGGATCATGGGTATGACCTTAATATCCCTCTAGGGCCGGCCCCGTGGCTTAGCGGTTAAGTGCGCCGCTCCACTACTGGCGGCCAGGGTTCAGATCCCGGGCGCGCACCGACGCGCCACTTCTCCGGCCATGCTGAGGCCACATCCCACATACAGCAACTAGAAGGATGTGTAACTATGACATACAACTGTCTCCTGGGGCTTTGGGGAAAACAAAAGGAGGAGGAGAGGCAATAGATGTTAGCTCAGAGCTGGTCTTCCTCAGCAAAAAGAGGAGGATTAGCATGGATATTAGCTCGGGGCTGATCCTCCTCACAAAAAAAAAAAAAAGAAAAAAATTACCCCTCTATATTACCTGGATTTCTTAAATGTGCATTTTAAAATTCTCTTTTAAAAAAGGTTTTCTTTTTATGGGTAAATAATGTTCTGATAATGGCAAATAATATTTTTAACTTGTTTATAAAATCTTAAAAAACAGAACTATTTGAATATATGACCAGAAACTAATTATCATGTCGCCGTG